GAAAACAATAGTGCAACTGCGTGATAAGGGCTTTTTTGTAGGATTACCGTAGGTGTACGATATGGGTCTCACCCTAAACAAGAAAGGCGTTGATTCAACAAATGAATTTTCTAATCAAATAGATATTCGCGTTTGGAAGGTCAAATAACCTTACTATGTAAAGTCTAGCGGTTTGACTTCGGATTCTTTATCATTGACGGTCGTTCCCAGCAACTCCTGCGTACATCGACTCGTTCAAATTTATGAGGACGCCAAATCCCGACATGCCCTTGAATTTTGTTTCTTTCTTAATAGTCAAAAGGAGTCAACCTCCTGCAAGAATTTATAGACGAATCCGGATTACTGCGCATGTTTTAAGCTGCCAAAGGTTTCATTTTAGCTTGAAACCCCAAAAATTCTCAAATTTCACTAGTTTTCAAGAAACACCTGAAACTTTTCTATTTCGTGTTTAAAATTCAGACAATTTGTGCTCTCTTGTAGCTCACATCGCCTACATAATGCCAAAGTTTGAGTGCGCCAAATCCAAAGAGAGTGAAGTTATGAAACCAGTTGCAAAACTTAGTTTCCAGCATAGTATAAATAAGTAAATACGCATAAATTACAAAGCAAAATTCGTAGGCATGTGGACCAGATCCTTCAGATATTTGGAACTTTGCACACCGCACTTCCAATGTGTCGCGCATCCAGATTTACGAGATCTACCCGAGTCTATCGTAAGCGCTCTCAACGGTACAATGCTTATGCAAAAAAGTTCTCAGGTAAATTAATTCTTTAGAATTTATTTTAGATGCGCTTGATCTCGGTAACGAGGAATTGCAGGGATATAGATTAGATGCGATAAGAAGTTCGCAAAGTAGGTGCGTCGACGTTTCGAAAGCAACTTTTTTCTAATCAAATAATTCCAGTTTTTGGATATCCTTGGGCAAATCCGAGGAAGAGCGCGAAAAAAGATTCGACTTTCTACCGAAGCTAAAAACAGTATATTGCTTCCAAATCAGGTGCATCGCAGAAGCACTGTAAATATTCCAACAACTCAGACACTCGCGGTTGACGACCGCCGGAGATCCGCCCACTTTCGGTTTGTTTCGGGACAAAGTTGTATCCTGCCGTTGCCCGACTACACCGGCAGTTACGTCGGGATTGTTCACGCGTATCAATACAATCGATCGGCCTTGTGAGTCGTTCGGGTTTAACCGGACATGCTTGACAAGTGCCGACAGGTATCGAAGGGACGCCATCATTCGCGATCAAGCTCATTTTCATTTCTGCATGCAATGATGGTAGTCGCGTCTGACTTTTTCAATTCGTCACGTCCATTCCAATTTCCTTGGTTCTCTTGGTTTTTGGTTATATTCTGTGGGTTCATGGTCGCATGTTTTCTACGTGATCACCCCCTCAGCAGGGGTAACGAGTTTCCAGCTAGAGCTGGTGAACTTTTAGAAGGTGAAATTTTTAGTCTTAAGAGGAGGACTAGTTCTGGTTCGCTGAACAAGAATGATAGCGACGACGGAGAGCTGTTAACGAAGAGCGATGTTGTGCTTACATTCAACATAGAGTTAAAAACGTGGTGTCGCTTCAGATTTCCTGAATATCATTCTTAGGTTGTTGTAATGGAAGTACAATGATTGAAAGCGATAGCTTTCAATAGAATAGTCTATTGTAGCATGGAAGTGGTTGGGCATAAATTGCAAACGGACCATGCTGAAGCTCAAAGACCATCGTGGGTTTCATTGTCATTTTGAGCAAATTCCTTATCAAGTTTATTTATCAAGCTAATAACTGTGCCGTAACTAGATCTTTCGTTGTTGAGTTTTGTTCATTTTTATAGATGTAATACACAAGGAGATTTCTCTACGAAGAATCCGTCACCTGTAGTCAAGGTCATGTTGTACTCTGAGGTAAAAAGCATCGTTGCTTTGAAGACAATAGACTTGGAAAGGTGAGTGTATCAATGCGTGATTCATGGTGAGATGATTTTGACATATTGTTGACATTGACATATTGCTATTCTTTCGGCAAGTCTCCTTCACAGTTTTCTATGTTTTCAAGAAATTTACTTTGAGCGCATGGGAGGAGTTGCGGAGCTTGAATACGCCAATACGAATTCGATGCAGCGGGCCTGACGCTCATGCCGCCCAAGGTAAATTTCCCTCCATTTTCAAAGCTGTGATGTCAGTCGTTCTTTTTTAATTTCAGAAAAAAAAGAGTGATAACGACGCAAGAAGGGACTACAAGCGAAAAAACGGAACTTCGGGACTCGCCTGAGGAAGATGGATTTTCTCTTTCTCTTTTTGCTCGGAGAGATGTAATTTTGTTGTTGCGATTCTGTTGTTGAGAGTCGATTTTTCTTCTTCTCTTTTTGCTCAGGAATGTATAATTTTACTGCTGCGATTTTGTTGTTACGAGTTTTCTTATCATTTGTTATGGTTTCGTCGTTGAGTTAACCTGAGATGAATAAATCTCTGTCGATTCAGTCTCTGTTGTTTATATAGTATAAAATGTATGCCGGAAATTTGAACAATATCAAGTGCGCTCTACGGCTAATTCCATGCCCCATTGGTTCGAGACTCCTGCATTTCACCGGCGTTTCACCTGCGTTCGACCCGAACATGTGCTGCAGGCAAATCCCGAACCAAACGCAGGTGAAACCTGTTCGACTGGCGTTTCTCCGGCAGTCTTGTCCTGAACCAATAGCCGGATTGTCCCGAAACAAACGGAGTTGTTCCGCTTGTTTTCAATGGGTCGAACTCCGTTTCACCGGCGGTCGTCAACCGCGAATGTCTGAGAACATTGATTTTTGCCTCATTCAGTTTTGCAGCGAAAACATTAGCTTTACCGTTTGCGCCAAGGAAAACTTGTGCCATCAAAGGTATGAACTTGGTTTACCATATCTTACGCACTTACATATTTTTTTCCAGAAATACAAAACAACGCAGGTCGGCTTCGCTAGAGAAGACAAGGCACGCATGACGAAATCGGAATGGAGGAAACAAGCGCTGCACATGAAGGAGATTTGATCCCGCAGTCTCACGCGTCCATCCCATAATTATCATTCTTTTTGATGCCATATCACATGATGCCTCTTCTCATCCTCACTATGCTTGCGCTCGCCTGCCGTCAGTACATGCTACTTCATATCTCGGTGTAGTACTCCATCCGCATCATTCAGGCATTGTTGTAATTAAATTTGGAAACATGCTAAAAAGATTTTCTCGGTGCCTTTCGTCAATGTGCTCTATATGTGCTGTAACAATAAATGATGAAGGATATCTGTGTTTTGCGTATTTTTGACTTGAGCAGCTGAAGTGTGTGTACGGCTTGAAAAAAAAAATAGGGTTTACTGTTAAAGGTTCTGTATAGCAACGCAAAGGTTTATCTGAAGCCCTCGAGAGTTCTGTGACTGAAGTCCTCGGGAAGTTTCCGTTTTTGGGGAAGTTCCCGAGAGCTTATTTGCAGAACTTCCTGAGGGCTTCACGGGAACTTTTCGAGGTGACCTGCGGAAAGTTTCCCCACAGCCCTCGGAAAATTCCCGTAAATTGTCTGAGTGAAATTGTTTTTCGCGCAGTGAGGAAGTGAGGATGAGCATTCCTCCCCATTTTACACCGTTAGAAGTGGGTATAAAAGAGTACTGCTAAGGGTGCAACAATTTTCGCCAACCAGCTTTTACATGAAAAACCTGATTGTCGATGGCAGTAGGTATTGGCATTACTCTCACCAAAAACATAAAAAGAAAAGGCTTAAAAAAACTCTGGACAGGTTTTTTCACGTTCAAAACCTCGGGAAGCACTGCATTTTGAAAAATCTCCCAAGAATTCCCTGGAGTTTCTAATGGCGTTTCTGTCGGTATCAGTTGTAGGGAGTTTTAATTCTTCCTATTCGTGCTCGGTATTAATTCGAACTATGTAAAGTTAGCAAAGCATGCCTCCGGGAAGTTCCCGGGGAGTGTCTGATTTAGTGGAGTATATAGTCGGTGTACATGCACTGCATTTTGCTTAATGTTGCTTTGAAGGAGTGGAAAGCAGGCTCTATCTTCAAGTATTAGGTTGTCAAGAAAATAATGTCGTTTTTTATTTGCTTGTTTTAACAACGCAAACAGACTCAATCCAACAAAGGCTAATGGGTATTGTTCGATAGAGCAAAGCAAGCTCTACAAGATGGCGTTTATAATATTGCGCCAAGTTCGATCCACGGAAAGCTTGAACTCAAAATCTGAAGATTTCCAAATGCCCAAAAATCGAAAAAAATTAGATCTTCGTCGAAATATTTCTACGGACCTCCCACTCGCACACGTCAATACTTTCGATATCTGATAGTTTTTTAAATCGTGCATTACTTTTATCGATTTTATCGATTTTTTTGCAAAGTTTGAGCTACGAGGCTGGGATTTGGCAAAAAATCGATAAAATCGATTGAAGTAATGCACGGTGTCGAAAACTATTACTGTATTCGTAATCAGCATGCTCGTTTACCCCCCCCCGTGCCAAATCCCAGCCCCCTAGCTCAAATTTTGCAAAAAATCGATAAAATCGACATCAATCGATAACGAAAAGTGGACTGTGACACCCGCCGGGGCCCGAAGTGTATGTGTGCCAAGTTTGGTTCGGATCGGTTAAGAAATAGAATTTTCTATTCGGAACATACGGCGGAGCCGGTAAGCCAGTTAGTAGTAAATAAACTCAGACAATCGCGAAAGAAGCTCCGGGGCAAATGACTTCTAGAACTTTCGCGAGCGCTCATAACGCTCCACGCAGAACGATAGCAGCGTTCACCCTGGAAGTTTTATAAGCTCAGTTTGCTCCGGAGGTTTTTTGCGACTGTCTGAGAACTACCTTTGGTCGGTGAAACAGCATTTCACGTGGATTCCCAAGCATTTGCTGACTGCACAACCTATATTGGAGGCACTACCACGCATTAACTGAAAGGCGATTTCTGATATATCAGTTGCAAACAGCTTTTTAAGCAAATGTGCATACGTTGGCATAATTAAAGGCTTCTTTTTGCTGTGGCATAAACTTTACAGTTCCTTCAGTAACGAGGAATATAAAATTGGATTCGAAATTTTTGTTGAACATCGTAGAAGTCTTCCTTCCAGCTTTTGGCGATAGTACTGAAAATTCAGACGAGTTATCACGATAGCACACAAAGGCGATCGAATGGCAGCAGCACTATATGGAATGAAAACCTTTGAATATCAATGCTTTCGAATTTAGAGCTTTGTAAGACGTCTGCATTGACACAGAGGGGAAAAAATTGGAAGATACGTACTAACTAATGAAGTATCCGTTTTCATTCTGCGGCATCTCTGGTGTTTCAGAACAGATACCGTCCAAAGCATTCGCAGCTTTTCTTTCAAGTGCACAGTCATAAGCCTAGAATAATGCGGGACAATTGATACTGAGGTGAAGCAACATATCAGCATATCCCGAGAGTTTTGTCCGTTTTTTCAAACCACATAAAACCACACACAATAAAAACTTGATTGAGTTTCAACATGGATTCGATGCAGCTTTTCTTCTTTACATGGATTTATTGCCGAACCTCAATCTTGTATGCTTCTTTTGATAATTGCCAAAATTCTACACTCTCCAATTTATCTGCTCAAAGTTAGGCTAATTTTCGAATTCCATTTGAAGTTTTGGAAAGGATTAAGTATGGCTCAGATAGAACAATTTTCGGACTATACGGTAATATTTTTAGATTCTCCTATCCTGCTGGTTTTAGCTTCAAAAAATTATTTCTCGAGGTCTCGATTTTTGGCAAATTCATGAAACACGCAACTGCAGCAAATACACGAAAGCTTTTAAAAGTAGCTTTTCGGAATTTTCGCTACTTTTACGTGGTAAAGATAATCAAAAGCAGCGGTTTTTATCAAATAAGTAATCATAACGGACTTGGTAAACGTGGCCCATGTAATCTAGAATGGTAAGAATGTAGCCAAAAGTTTGCTCTACATAACAGTTGCCAGCTCTCTTTTAAACATCAGGATAAATTGCCAGCGCTCCTTCAAACATCAGGATAAAATTTTTTACAATTCAGAATTTTGGCGTTTTTTGCTGGCCTGCAGAGCCGTGGCGATAACATTGCAAAGAAGAGTAGATCAGAGAACAAATTTAGCTGTAAGAAAGAGGATAAAAATCTGAATTAAATGGTACCTATTGCCCATGGACATGGACGGTGTTCTGTGAGTTTTAGTGAGCGACGAAAAACGAACAAATCTTTCGGAACAATAACTAATATAATCTCTATGATTAGCGTGATAATTCACAGCAATTTCGTTTCACTGCTAATAGACGTCGTTTTTCATCTTCCTCTTAAGCCATACTTAGCTTCAATGCAAACGGTCTGAAAAGCTTAAATAAACTATTCATTGAAATGTTTCCTAGAATTCCCCATTTTTAGATTGTAGTATTGTGCTTCTCAATGCCCTAACGTAAGAACGTTGCCAGATTTCCAGCAACTAAGACTGCAAATCAATAATCCTAATTTCATTACACTAATTATTTGTGCGGATAAAGCTCTGACCTCAACACCTATAACATATATTAGGTGGACTTGTAAGTTCGTTCGCATCATTTTCAAAAATTTATAACTACTGAATTTTCCAAACGATTTGCCTACTTTCATTTTCATTCAAAAGAGCCAGTCATGTTATTCATAATGGTAATATCTTGGCAGCTTCCTACTGAGCTTCTTAACAGTAAAAATTGGAACAGTTAGTATTGTAAGGTTTACTACCAGCTCTTTCTGACTGTGCAAAGTTTGTGGTGAGCGTCTCTGTGATAAATTATGATTTTTGAGCAAGCAATGCAAATGGCGAATTTGATTTATTTTAGCATTCTTCTTGAAAGTCATAACTTTTCATAGAGACGCTGCACAATTGCTCGCTTAGAAAGAGCAAATAATGAAACCCTATAATACTGACTTCTCTGATTTTTACTGTAAGTCAGATTTTTTATGACCCTGCACATATAGGCTGTACCAACCAGCATCGGTTATGCGACGTCGCGCCTGCGACGACTTGCGACAATGCGATCTGACGCGCGCGAACTCTGCCATGCGTTATGGCGCGCCGCATGCGACGGTGCGTCGTAGCACGGCATGCTCGCGCGGGACCGATGCCGGCTGATACAGCCATTACAATTCAAAATTTGAGTGATTATCTTCTGTCGCTTCTATCTATGTAGTGTATGTACCATAGGAAGCCGACAAGATACCATTAAGAATAGCGTAATTTGCTCTCTTGAATGATAATAAAAGTGGATAAATCAGAAGGTATGAATTTTTGAAAATGGTGCGAACGAACTTTCGAGAAGACCCAATGTAACGGAGCTAACCATCTTTCTCATATTTTTTGCTGCTGGAAGCGTTATTGGATCTCCTTTTGAATCGACACTCTTTTGCAACCCATTAGCCAACTTCGTCCGTAGCTCATTTATGGCTGTGAGTATTTGGCTGACGTCATCCTTCGACACAGAGCCATTTTCGCAGTAAGCATCATCTAAACCGTGTCGATTTCATTACAAAAATAGAGTCCAGGCGAAACTAAACAAATGAATCGTACACATGGGAACTGTTTTCGGGGCCCAACTAACACTTTGTCGAAGCGGCAACGCGAAAGTGCACTGGCGGCTGAGATATTCACCTCCAAACAAGACCCCGCTACCGTACATGACGGACGATTTGTCCTGCTCAAAAGCCTGCAGGCCGAAGCATATCATCCAGTAATTACGATAATAGGAACAGCTGCCTGTACGCTGTCTTTGAGGGAAGTCTGAGAGTGTTACAGTCCTGCAGCTACAGAAAAACTAACCAAAGCTATGGACTCTGACAGCTTCTATAGTTCACCACAGCAACTTCTGTTGTAAGAACAGGCTTCGGCATAAAATGACAAGGTTATTCATACTCAAACCCTCTTAATAATTTGTAGTAGTGAGCGACGATTACGGAAAACGGGATGAAATCTATAAACAATGGATAAACAACTGAATCTCACACCTTGGGAAGCTATGAAGTTTAGTGTATTAGAAGTCAATTTTTAGTTTGTTGACTCTTCGTTTGCCATGATTTCAGATTATTCTAGCAAGAGGATTAGCAGATTAGAAAAACACAAGAAGGGGTAAGATTAAGACCTACTTATTTTGAATGAAAGAAATCTCAGAGCGACATCTTTGAGGATGTCTGTCTAGTATTACAACTCGTAATTACTCGTACAAAGAATTTGTAAATAAAATCGCCGGAGTTCGCCGAACTTCCCTTGCATGGCATATCTTGCGCTAGACTATATCAATTCTGAATCCAAAGCACCATTCAACTCATCTCGACAAGGTGCATTTTCGATAAGTAGAAGTATCGTCGATTCGTTGACCGTACGGACCTCAAACGCTAAGGACCACGCGCGGCGCGGTTAAAATGTTGCGAGAGCACGATTTTAACAATGGCGAGTTTGTATCGGAGCAAGCGTTTTACCTCGCGGCGCGTGCTCCGCGGTTATGTTCAGTCCGTACAGTCAAAGAATGGACTTTACCTGTTTGAGCACCTCACAGATTCTTTCTCATGGTATATTGCTCAGAGTGTTCAGTCATCGCACAACGGTCACCTTACCATAAGCAAAGATTTGGAAACATCGTCGGAATTCGACCGACTGTTGTCCTTAAACGCACTCTTCATCGAGCGGAGGAATAGTGTTTTTGGATTCATAAATAGTCTACTCTGAAGCAAGGTATGGCGAAGTGTTATGATTTTTCTTACAGATTACGGGCGGTATTTTGAACTTCTCATTTTCTGCATGCTTGAAAGCCCGGTCAGCCATTCAGGATATAATATAGCTACGAAATCTCATAGCCTCAAAATCAACTACAGGAAAAAGTAGCAGTTGGCATCTGCTCAGAACTTCCTCGTGCAGGCCGAATATGACAGGCTAAAAGCTGAGGCACGATCAAATCGGACACATGTAAATAACGTAGAAGCTGTTAGCAAATTTGTGCTGGGCATTTTTGAAATCGACAATCTCTCAAAAGTCCCACTTTGGCAAGAACAATTTGCCCAACATGAAAATATCATACGACAAATACAACGCAGACTATGGAGACACTGTCTTGAACAGAGAGAACTCCTTTGCTCTTCAGCTGATAATTCACTTCTATAAGTGACTTGACGTCAAGAAACATCAACCCTTTCTTTGAATCCAGCAAAAAAGATCAAAACCTTCAATCATAACGCTGTAATTCGTCACCATATCGTCTCATCTTCTTGACCGTGAAGCTGTCATTGAACCGAGAAGTTCATTAGTGCTTCAAAGGGTATGTTGCTGCTAACGTTTTACTGAGGCACATGCGCAAAGCCTTTAAGACCTTGAAGATTACTGGGCCCCTCTTTTCGTGTTATATGACCGAACCCTCCCGAAAAGCAGAGTTGAACTCACCATCCTCAGACGCATCCAGTACAGGAAGCAAAAAGATGGGCTGGAAAGAATTGTTCGCTGTATAGGAGATGTGAGATGCAACTTACTAAGAGTGCCAAGTATTTCGGACCAAGCATATCTTGAATGCTGGCTCACGGCTTCTTTGTCTTTTTATATGCACTATTTCAAAAGGAACTCTGTAGCCGTTCGTGAATATGACGTCAATTTGGCTACATTATAATGCCGCAATTTTGATATTCCCATGATTTTGGTAGCAATGACTTATGATATGAAATCATGTTATAGATGATACACGTTAAAATGACGCCGATATTTGGATTTAACTAGAACTGATAGGTGTCTCAATGCTAAATAAAGCAAAACATCTGCGCAACACAAAAATAAAGCTGTATGTTGCCCATTTCATAAAAATGGAAAGAAAATGACTAAAAACTTGAGAATTTATGACATTCTCGGCTGCGCCTTCCGCAAAAACTCCTTTTCCTTTCTGAAATATTGAAATTCTTACAACTTAGCCGAGAATATCGGCAATATATGCCGAACGTCAGATACATAGGTTTTATTAGGTTGGCCTAAGTTATGCAGCTTCTTTCAATACAACTCTTCTCTTTTCGATTGCGGACTCAATTTTCGAAATCATATTACGATGCAAATATGCACAAATTACTTGACTTTTAATGGAAAAAAGAGAATATTTCTATTATATGTGTTTTCATAAAACATACAAAAAATTGCCCTTGCGAATTCATTCTTGTCACTCTTTCACTTACCAGGTCAATAAATCAAAGCCAGGGCACGGCACGAGGTGGGCAAACGGGGTTTTCCAAAACGAATTCCCCTTTGATCCCAATAGTTTTTACGAATACCCCCTTGAGCCCAAAAATGACGCTTTGTGCTTGTGCAACGAGAGCACCGGCCACACTTCGCGTAAAAGCGCTCAAAAGCGCCCAAATTGCTCAAATTCCTCAAATTACTCCTCAGCTGTATCGAGATAGAAAACAGGGAGAAGAATAAACAAGAAAAATGATGAAGGAATGAAAAAATATGAAAGTGACGCAGTCATAAGACTGAGAGACGCCGTTCCCGCGCGTATCGATTGACTAGGGCGCGCTTTCCATCTTAGAAAGCTATGCTGCTGATGCGATTTTGGGCTCTAACAAAGACAAGAGGAGGAGTTTCGGAACCAAAATCTCAGCATATATTAAACTTTAGGTGCACAACAGATTTAGGTAAAAGTTTTGAAAAAATTATGTGAATTGAAAGTTTTGCCCACCTCAGGTGGGCATTAGGTGGGCCATTGCCCACCTAATTTGGAAAAAAGTTGAGCACTCTTCATTCACATAAGTTTTTCATGATTTTACATACTTTGTTCCCTAGTCCTACTGCGCGTATACACAGCGAATTCGTGCGATTTCGTCATCTCTGCGTTGCAAACGAGCCATTTTTCAATTTTCTTGATAGTGGGAAATTTTCAGAAAAAAAAGGTTTCCACAACCTACAGTCATATAATTTTTCAATGAAACTTCTAAGTTAAGCCCTGCAGGCCCGTGTTCATGTACCTACCAAGTTTCTTACTGTATGGTTATCTGTGCGCTGCAAACGAGCCATTTGAATTCACATCTTCATTTACCAGTTTTCCAAATTTTTTGGAAAAAATGCTTATCATTCCTCCCATTCACATAAGTTTCTCATAATATTTCATACTTTGTTTCTACTAACCTCTCTTCGTTTGCTTACGTAATTTGGTGCTATATGGTTACGCCTGCATTGAGAACTGATCATGTAATCATGCTGTTCATCGGCATCGCTCTTGCGACGTCGCGCACGCGGCAATTAGCGGCAACGCGGCGTAGCGCGCGCGAACTCTGCTGTGCGTTGAGGTTTATGAAAACTATTTCCCAGTGAATTAGATGTATAAGGTAAGCATGATTCGACTTTCTTTTGCTTGCACTTGGAATCTTCTTCCGGGGCTCCGCCCCGGATCCCGCAAAAACGATATCCCCTTTGCTTTTTGGCCCCAAAACGATTTCCAGCTTGTCATTTGCCCACCTCGTGCCGGGCCCTGATCAAAGCCTCAGCCACTTTTGTGTAGCTCAAAATTGTTTCGGAAATTGTGCCCACTTTGGAAAATTTTGTCCTTCGCTTTCCATAAGGACCCTAGATAGACATTCGACACAAAGCAGGCTGCACCAGGTAGCCTTTAAACAATCGCACAAAGTGTTTGATGTAGGTGAAGTTTAAGTGAAAGTCTAAAGCTGCTCTCTTACGTCAAAAAACATAACGGGTTTCAAAAAATCTCACAAATTTTAGCTTGAGCATATACTACCTATGTCAACAAGAATAAATTTCTACTCTTGAGTATACTATCGGAGACATACCAAGCATAAAACCCGTACTCTTACATTTTTTATAATTTCATTTATTGTCTCGACCACCGCAATATTTAGCAATATTTTGTGAATGTCTGACGAACAAGTATATAGTATAGAGGTTCCAAGGTGCTTCGGGCAAAACCCGATTCCTCCCCTCCCCCTCCATGTGGCAACTTCCAGCTCTGTAGCTCGAAGTTTGCGAAAATCGGTGGATTAATAACGAAAAGCAGACTATGTCACATTTGCCCGACGTGCACAAGTCCAAAGTTTGATTCGAATCCGTTTGGAAGTGGAATCCGATACCGTGCACATGTACAAACAGACATTCACAGATAGAAATTTAGCTTTATTTATAAGAAATACTCATACCAAGTCGACGTCCATGCCGAGAGCATGTTGTGAGTCCAAAGACTACCCTATGAAGAATGCGACAGCTAAGATTCTGCTTGTTACTCAAGAATATGACTTCTCTTATTTTGCTGAACACTTAGCTGCTTTACACAAGAATAGAAAAATCTCATAAGTTTTAAGCTTATCCCAAACAGGTTCGAAAATATCAGCGCTTTTCAGCTTTTTTTCCTGTACTTTTATGAATTGCTCTACCACTTGCACTTGTCTCATTGAATCGTGGCTACCTGGTAGGCTAATCGACAGCCATAAGAACAAATTTCAGAGAAGGTCATGATTTGCCAAAAAGGGGCAGAGGGTTTTTGCTTTCCACAAGGTTTTCTGCACATAAGTGATACCGTACGGGTCAGTGGCGGATTGAAGGGAGAGAGGGGAAGGGGGAGAGGAGGGGAAGGGGAGAGCGTGGATTGCAAAATATCTGAAAGGTTTTTATATGGGTTGTGACATCGTGCAAGTGACTTGTTTGCATTTATAAATAATAAAAGTAACTTCTAAAATTTTTTCAAAAATCCATATAAGCTTTGTAAAAAAAATTTTTTCGGAAGTGTGCCCCTGTCACGCCCCTTTTTTGAAATTTCGGAGTCCTGGACCCTCAAAAATTCTGGGAACCATCCTCAAAAAAATTCCCGAGTCCTTGGCGTTAGCCACGCACCTTCATGGGAAAAAATTTCTAGTCAGCCCCGCGCAAGGTTACAAAAAGAAATTTTGTTACATGTAACCTTGAATGCACTCTTTGGCGATGTCGTAACACAAAAAGTGAAACTTTACAACACATTATTTGCGCCAATCTGATACAGCTGCTCAGGGTATGTGCAAAATTCTGTCCTGTGTTCAGGGTTCATTACTCAGACAATGGATCGGACCCCTCCGCTGGGCAAGCCGAAACTGCCAGACTCGCGCCGGACCCAATTGACCAATGAGAGCGGGGCAAATGGGCGGTCCCTCGCGTGACATCACTGCCAGGCAAATGGGAGGCTTCTCCGGCCCTGCTGCAAAGGTCCGCCATTTCTCCGGCGCGACCCTGGCAGATTTGCCAGGCTCGCGCCGGACAAATTTGTCCGGCGCGAGCCTGGCAAATCTGGCGGAGTCGCGCCGGAGAAAATGGGAGGGGTCCGGAGCAGAAATGGGAGGTATCCGGAGCAGAAAATGGGAGGTATCCGGAGCAGAAAATGGGAGGTATCCGGAGCAGAAAATGGGGGGTATCCGGAGCAGAAGATGGGAGGTATCCGCCGGAGAAATGGGAGGTATCCGGAGCAGGCTGCGTATCGATTTGGCGCGTAGCAAGCAAACGTCTAACTCCACGGTGATGAGTCCTCTGTTTACGCTCTTTGTCCATATTTTAGTCGCCGTTTATTTGATTCTGTTGTTTTTGCGCGTTTCTTTACCGTTTTTTCCTTTTCCGCGTTGCTCTTCGTCGCGTTGGCGTTTATGTTGCTGTAAGTTCCTCGTTTTCAGGTTTATGTTTGAAATTTTCGTGCGGTTGCACTCAATCACCTTCAGTGTTTGGCTCTTTCCGACTTGCTGAGACATCGTAGACTATTGATGGAGTGGTTTTTGTGATTAATTCTGGATTTTCGAAACAATGAGGTTAGTTGCGCAACTATCTAGTGTTGTTGTGATGAAAGTATCGTCTAAATAATCCGTGTTGTTGTTCCGTGTCACACATCGATCGTTCACTTCATTATTCACAATCGTTTCTGGTTCAAGTTTCTTTGAATAAAGCAAGTTTTTAGCATGGACTACTTGTTGGATCGGTATTTGTTCGATAACTTGCCTTTCACAGTCTCGCCTGAAACTAGGAAAGGTATAGGTCAGAAAGCTGTCACCATGGTCCAGGTGAGGTTTTGTACCGTGTTACGGTGAGGTCTTTAGTGAGTTTTTGGAAAGCTCTTTTCTTTTACTTTATCAAATATCAAATAAGCCTATCGTCATGGCGGTCGGTATCTATACACATGGATTGCCGTAACTGTACATGCGTTTGCCATCGAAACACTAGCTATCTCTGTACCAGAATTGAATCTTTATTGGCATGCACAGGTATTTATCTTTCTTCTCAGCAACACTCGACTTCATAATTATCCTGCTTAGGGTATGTTGAGCTTTTTTGGAATGAGAGTTCCTCTCTATGCCCTTTTTGGATTTCATCAAATGTTTCTCTACACATCCTATGTCCTTGTTAGCAGGTATCTCATGTACAGGGCTTTTCAACCTGAGAGTCGCAAGTTTCGCTTGCGCGGCTCCTCCAACGCGGCCGCCTCGCTCAGGCCGCGCGCGGCGTTTGCTGCGTATTCCCCGGATTTCGCCAAGCTTCACTCGACGCGCAGCCAGCGCCACGAACGCTGCGCGGACCTAAGCGTGGCGTCCTAGCGGGGCGGGTGGGACACTCAGGTTGTAAAGCCCTGTACACATTTATTAGTCCACAGAATTTTCATATATTTTTTACTAGCGGGAAAATCTTCCGATCAAAATTGTAGACGTAAATTTTAACGGATAACGGTTAAGAGTTTCTGCACGGTCCTGTTTTTCGAACAGCTTGTGAAGGGGGGCGCCTACCCCGTTCCCCCCCCCCCGACTTGTTGCTTCATTAAAAATTGATCGCTGGTTAATCCTTCTTCAACTTTTTTCACCAATACAGGTCAAGTCAGCTCAGGCCTTATAACAGTGACAGTAATTTCAGTCTTGGATAGAAATCACTAAGTTCCCCTTGTCCACTTTGGTGATTGTGAGCGTAAATTTATATTTATTGCCATTTCAGAATGCGCCTACCTTGGTGGGGTGAAGGGCCTGCAGTTGGCCTGAGTTCTGTGATGCTTCAATTACCATTCCGTATGTTAGGTACGAAATTGCTGTGGTGGACGTGGCACGATACTGATCCAACGATTGAAGACAGGTCTTTTTTCGTCTTTTCTTGGTGTCCTCGATTTTCCACATGCATACAGAATGTTCTGGACTCCATGGAGCTCTTTATACTTTTATGCCGCATGTGCTTGTTCTTTTGTATGGATGCTCCGACTAACTAGACGCTTGTTGCTTGAAAAGGAGTATGACTGGATGAAGTAAGCGGTCATCTAATGTAAGGTGAGCTGGAATTTAAAACGCGCCATCTTCAGATTCCCAAAGGAGTTGACATGCTCCTTTCTAACTGGAGTACTGTCGTACTGGCTAGGAACCGCACAGTTTGTCTGTTTTGTTTCATGTTGCACAGAATGCTTTTTTGATCTTTTTGTCATTTTTTTACCATGTTAAAACCATATGCTTATACTGTGGTGTTACAAGGTTCTTTTTGCAACTAGGAAATTAGTTTTTCTTTCAATATTCTTATCTCTAACTCCTAGTATGGTTTTTGTAATATGAATTAACTGTTGTACGTATGCTGGAGATAGATAGATAGATTTTTCGAAAGTTTGAAAAATTTGAAATAAATGTCTTATCTCTTCGTTCTTTCTTCTATCTTCTATCCACAAACGCTAGGGGTGAGAGGGAGGGGGTAGAGTACGGGGTGAGGGTCGCGCTAAACTCCTACCCGGGGGGGGGGGGTCCTATTCGGCTTATTTGGGTGGGGTTTAGAGACAAAATTGGGGTTTGGAGCTTAAAGGCAGCGTCCAGGCAAGTCTGGACCTATGGGGATTTTACATGGAAAGTATTTTGGGGCCCTAACTAAGCCACTACCCAAGCCGCAGCTCAAGTAATGCTCTAACACCTGAGATATTCTGCTCGAAACCGGGCCCCGCGACCGTGTTTCGCATGGATTCTTGGCGCAAAGCGTGGATCCTGGCGCGAAACTGCCATGAATCCATGCGAATACGTTCGCGGGGGTCTGTTTCGAGGGGAATATCTCAGCCATTGGAGCACTACCTGAGCTGCTGCTTCGGCAGTGCCTTAGTTAGGGCCCCAAAAGTACTTTCCATGTAAAAGCCCCATAGGTCCAGATCTGCCTGGAAGCTGCCTTTAATTAGGGCTAATTACAGTATGCCGCGATCGGGGGGCTCCGGCGCACAAAATCGGGGGGCTCCGGAGCAGAAAATGGGAGGTATCCGGAGCAGAAAATGGGGGGTATCCGGAGCAGAAATGGGAGGTCTCCGCCGGAGAAATGGGAGGGCTCCGCCGGACGAATGGGTGACCCACCGCTGGGGAAACGCCGCGACCCTGCCATTTCCCCAGCGGAGGGGTCCGATCCATTGTCTGAGTAGGTTCATCACAAATTGTTCTTAAATCTTAACAATAAACTGAAAACAAGAGGATTCATGATTTTTCACTACCTCTGTGAAAAAGCTGATCTAGGTAGACTGTACTCGAGAAATGAGAGCAAACTCGTGTTTTCCTAGTAAATAGTAGTAGCAGATAGTATGCTGTAACAGTAGTAATATAGATAGTAAATCACTCGAGCTAAAGCGGCATACGGATTCGAAACATTTTCGTGAAGACAATTTCCAGTCTGTACTTCTGCAATAGTTCGAACTCTTTGAAATACCGTATCTGTGCAAACGCAAGGGTATTTTATTACCTTCGGACACACTTTCCCGCCATTCAACCTCATCGGTGTGGTTCAAAGCGGTCGACAAAGGAGCAATCCTCTTCAAGGGCTGCTAGAAAGTAGATGATACAGCCTTTTCAAAAATTTATCCAAAGCAAATACCTTAGAAGGAACATATCGAAAGTGACAGCGCGCATCCAAAAAATTCACGAAAATGATTAGATGAATTTATCTAAGTCAGAAGCGTTTTCAAGCATATCAATGAGCTGTAAATTTCGTAGCTATCAGATAAAGTCAACCTTGGAAATTTGAATTGTTTTGTGCAGATTACGTAAATTTTTTTGCGTCACCTTTCATGTGAACCACCCTATGTATTTGAGGGAGTTAGTTTTCGTTGTTGAAGGCGATTATACCGGACTTCTTTACTGCAAAACTTAAATTCAAAAGTAGCAAAACTGTTGAAGAACTTCCAAAATGCAAATGCTGTTCTTCTTTGAATTAGGTTGATTCATAACTAATGCATATTACATATTTTAAAACGCTAGAAAATTTATAGCTCACATATCTTTCTGTATTGCAAAGCAAGCCCTACAAGATGGGTTTAAGCAATCATGAAAAATTTGATACAAGTAAAGTTAGGAAGTAAAATCTAAAAATTATCAAATGCTCAAAAATTGAATCTCCGTTCAGAAAAATCTGACAAGCCTTCAATTTGCTCACAAAAGTTGCCTGTCGCATCAGATGCACATGCACACTTGCTGTTTTTTCTTCACGATGTTAAAAAAAACTTCGGCACATTCTAGCAAAAGGATTGCCCCGGCATAATTATTTCCATACTATTAGGTTGTCCCGAAAGTTTTGTCCGTTTTTTCAACTTATCATAAAAATACGTGGAACAAAGATAGGGAAACGCTCTAAGCACTACTCGACGCATCTTTCCTCCTCTTTCTAACTGTCAAGCCCATATGCCGATTACTCTTTTGTTCTCTGAGATGAACGCCGAAATTTCGAACCCATGGTTTTTACTATGTCCAAGTTTGACAATTTTTCACAATCTTCATTTTCAACTTTTGGAAGACCTTTGATAGCCCTCAGATAGAGTAAGCAAAGGGCAATGCAATGCAATTATTTTGCATATCTAGCTGGCTTTTCAATATTCTTAGAGAGAAATTTTTCAAAAGTCTTCACTTTTGCGAAGTTCTAAAATAGAGAAACGCCTCGAACACTAAGAAATCATCGGATTTTGAAGCTTTCAAAAACCGATTACGATTATTCACTATTTTTACGAAGCAAATGAGCGTTTACCGCTTCGAAACATAAGATTTTGCATTTTACGTGTACACTCTGGGGTGGGGTCAAATTCAAGAATTATGAAAATTTTATCGCCAGAGACCCCACAGATTGGAGGAAAAATACACTCACTGGAAAGAGGAGGAAAAGCTGCATCGAATAACACCTTAGTTGTGCGCCGTTTCATGATCTCTGGCTTTTGGCATCATCAAAAGTGGAATTTGATAGCATCAGAAAAATAATTCTAAAAAATTTTCAAGGCTGGCTATAGATGCCGCAAAATTGCATTATATTGCCCTTTGTTTGCTCTATCTAACTGTTGCCAAAGCTTTCACGAAAGTCAAAAATTAAGATTGTGGAAAATTGCCAAACTTGGACATAGTAAAAACCATAGGTTCGAAATTTCGGCGTTTCTCTCAGAAAACAAAAGATTAATCGGCATGGAATCATAACAGTTAGAAAGAGAAGGAAAAGATGCGTCGGATAGTGCTTAGAGCGTTTTCCTATCTTCGTTCCACGCGTTTTTATGATAGGTTGAAAAAAGGGACAAAACTTTCGGTACAACCTAATATAAGCGCTTGGAAGTCCACCAGTAATTTATTAGCTTTCTTCGAGCATCAGTTTTCGAGAAATGTCGGATTTAACGGATGTAGTTTTCAAATGTGCTGCTGTAAATATCATTTTTTTAAGAAAGTTCTCCTTTTTCCGCCTTCGTTTAGCTCATTGTCAGTACTAATTCAAACTCTCGTAAAGTTTAGCTAATTAATTTGTCACCGGGAGGTTCCTCCGGGGGATTGTCTAAGTTATAAAATTAGATATAATTGTTGTATCTGCATTGCATTGTGCTAAATTTTGCTTTGAAGGAGTCAGTAGACTTTGCATTTTTTAAGTATGTGCTCTTGTGCATGCGCAATATTTCGACTCGTCTTCCATTGGCATACCAAAGAAATACCTGTTTAGGCTTTGAGCAAAAGAAAAAGGAAGCGAAACAAAAATATTGTAGATGAACTTCAAGCTCACACATTCCATCGCTTAGTGAACGGATGGATGTGTTATGCTTTATTTTGCACTCCAACTTGTTACTACGCACCATGAGGCAATAATTGACTTTACCATGCTATTTTCGATTAGACAGTAAAACAGATTACAAGTAGACCTCAAGAAAAAAATGGTTAAAGACCCTGTAATCGTAAGCATTGTTAGTGACAGAACTGAAACCTATTAAATCACAAACACTTTAGAAGGTACGAAGTAAGATACTTTGCTCCAAAAAGTTTGAAAAACCTCAAACTTTTTGGAGCAAAGCATTTTTAAACAACCTCATATTTATATACAAAGAGTCTTATACTGCAGCAGTTCCGTAACATCTGTAAAAATTATTTCAAAAATTTTTGATTAACTCGCAAAATTTGATTAGAGAAACAAGATCAACTGGCTAAAATTCACATCCTAAAAAGGACATCTAAGAATAGTTGCAGAACGTGAGAATTTCTGCAAGGTCTACATGCCGTATAAACTTTATTTTGGAAAAAATCAGGTACGGAACAGACAAAGAATGAATAAAAACCCGACCCAAATCAACAAATAATGTGCGCGTTCACTTCTCTGATCCACACAATCCAAGGTTTCTATCGCATGATTTTGCTCCAGAAGCATCGCATTTAGAGCATACCTTGCCAGATTTGTACATTGATTGGCCGACTTTGTTACCTCTAAATAGACTGGCATTAATTACCCAATTTGACATTAACACGTTGACGACCGCGCCATTTTGGGCGAAACTCACACTAACGTCCTTCGCGCATTTGGCCCGTGTATACGCGCGGATGCAGGAAAACATTATGTGGGAGTCTTTTTGACACTTATTCATAAAACATGCGAACTTTGTTCAGACATACAGGTATATCACAGAACCTTATCAGGACTTACACAAATCAAGGTTTTTGCATCGATTTTCCCTCCAATAAACCATGCAATGGCGATATCTGAGAAATCCCTCTTCGAGAAAAGCGTTGTAATACCAGGTGTTTTTTGCCTGATTCATCCTTGTTTGATTTCAAAACAACTATACAGAGTTTTCACCTTCTCGAAAAAACGTAATTACCATGCATTGACTACATCAAAAACGGACTGACTACCAAATTTGGCGGCCAAAACTTCTGAACAGCTGCCGCAATGCCCTGTGTTCTGTAAGACAATCAGGCCGCTAGTAGTAATACCGCATAGAAGTTACCTTGAAACCTTTCGTTTGCACCTAAAAAGCTAGCGTGCATATGCGCGGATGCACGAAAATGCTAAACGGGAGTCAGGGCGTGCATACGTGCGGATACACAAGGTCGTCAACGTGTTAAAGGTCGTTTTTTGGCTCAGATGTATCCGTCTCTAGGTAGGTCCGTTCTACAGATGTCCTTTTTTCATTGAATGTTATAGGATTTTGTTACATGATTTTGAAGCGGCCTTATATGCATCGGACTTAGCTCTAAACGGATTTGTCAGCGGGGTTGTCCTATACGTCAGATTCAGGGTAGTTTCCTTTAAAATGTGACTAAATCTTACGGCGGATAGTAGCGGCATGCCTCCACCCAATAGCTACCACACTTGGCGATAGAGCATCCCATTTCTCTACTTGACGCCCAGCCCATCTTCAAGGATCATGATTTCAGTATAATAGCTAATCAGAGTAGAACATTATGGTTTTGTTTCAGAGCTCCTTTTGCTTCCAAGACAAGCACACTTACTAGGGTGAATGATCTTATCTCCGTGCTGTTGTGTTGAGTAGTGAAGGCTTTTGTTCCGGGTCCCGCAACCTTCCGAACCTGTTTCCACCATTCGGTGACCGCCTGAAAAACCTACTGTTCAAGTTCTTCAGTCTCACGCCGACAGCATACCTTTTTATTCATGTCCCTAAATGTTGGCTCGTCCGTAATACCGTAATAGAAATTCTGCGCTAAGCTGTCATCATCAGTTCTTTTGTAGCCTTCTTTTGGACAGCCTCTGAGAAAATCGTGAGCTTCTCTCTCTAGTGCGCAATCCCAAACCTGTCAAATTCTACAGTTAGGTTACAAAAGTCTCTTAGAGTTGAACTGACTAAATAATTCATGTTGGAGGCGGCTGGTAAAGGTTTTCCTTTGTTGTCCGAAATTTGACCCAAGGCGAGCTGCGAGCTGGATTTAACATAATGTTGGGATATCTCGAGGCAATGTACTAATTTCTCATTTGAATTTAAGTTTGGAGTATAGAAGAACGCACCGTCGGTAATTGTGAGTGTCTTGCATGTGCATTCTCATCGTGTCGGAAATTTCTTTCGATGAGCACTTGGTGTTTGGTTCTGAAAAGGGATATAATCAAAAGAAGTTCGCAATAAAAACAGTTTTGTTTTTATTTGTGTCAAGTCAGCTGTATTGTTCAACTATGGATTACAGATTGCAAGCAAGAACCACACTAAAAACTTGCTCTTCATTTCGAGAGGAGAGAGGGGGGGGGGGGAGAGGGGAGAATGATGTTGCGCCACTCCTTATCGTGTTCGCTTCACTATCTCAGGGACCGTAGCAAAACCAACAAACCTATTTAAATCTAGTCCACAACGTCATATCAAGTTTATGACGAAGAGAAATAGCCTAACTTAGCCTAAAACCCATTATAAAACCTCCATGAAAGATCAAACGAAACAAATACTGTTTAGCCCGACAATTGGCTTACCGTCGGAACTTCCAGGAAACTCGACTGGGACAACGCACAGCATGCCGTCGCACTTCAAGGATTCATCGCATTCGCAAGTTCCTGCGGTCCCCGTTTCGTAGATTTCTTCTCCAATGCGGATATTCCTGAAAGGGTGGAAAAAATCTCAACGCTTCATGTTCTTTCCTTTTTCTTTCCTTCTTACGAGCAATCTCTGTTGTAAAATCAATTTTGATCTTTCAGTGGCTAGAAAGCAAATTCATTGTTGATTGTTTAAAGCAATTCTGACAAGCTTTGGTAGTTCATGATCTGTGGATCAACGATCTATTCAGAACAAATTACTATGTACCTTTGCACATTTCATTTCAGGTTTCCAATTGCCCTATTACGCAATATTCATTGAGTATTGATATAATATTCATCTCTGATTTGCGGCTGCAGTCAGCGCATAATCGCACCTAAAATTTCATGAGCACTTCACGATGTGAGTTAGAAGTTAGAGTTGAATAACTTATGGCACCTGTAAATTTTTACCAGTATCGTGTTTGCTGCAACTTTAGGGCTTCCCAAGAAAATATGTCTTTTCAATAACTCTCTTATCATAAAGCTTTGGAGAAGCTCTAGATATCGTTTTGTAGAACTGGCTTCAGCTTAGATTATAAACTACCGATCGCTCTTCATTACTGTAGAATGCGCTAGGATCTTCAGAGAGTTTTGAGACATGAAGGCTATATTTCGTGTCAGAAAGGAAGCAGAGCGACATGAAAACGGATATTCACAGTTGTTGATTCTAAATCTCAATTTTGACCCTCATCATAATGTTTCCTCAAAAAGTTATGCCTGGTAAGCAGCGGCGTTACTTCGCTATTTCAAAAAATGTGGTTTCACCGCTTAGAAAGCTTTATAGCTTTGTAGAAGTTAAGTATCAAACTTAGCGTCCGTGAAATTGCCATCGTGCAAGTTTTTAGATCTTCTAACAATCATTTGGAACTGCAGCATGTTACCATGATGCCATTTGTTGGAATTCCCACCGTAACCCTACAGTAATAAACATCGATCTGTGCTCCGTAAAGTGAGTGGAAGTTTACCAGCTCTACAAAATGTGCCCAATTTTTCCGAAAAATTTATACGAGAGTTATTAACAATTGAACCCTAGGCACATTTGAGCTTGTACATGACACCTGGTATTAGAAACACTGAGTTTTCGGAAGATGAAATTTGAAAAATGTAACATCCCTAAGTACCAAAACACCGAAATTTTGCTGAAATAAGTTCTGTAAACTCCTAAAGATAGAATAGGAATTTATTAACAGGAAGATACATAGTGCACTGCCTTATTAGTTAGTAAATTTATCGCCTTTGAAAGTTTAGAACATTTTCTAAAAGTGTTTCAAATTGAAGCGACAATCCGCGGTATAAACTTGAGGTCATTCGCATTGTTTTGGAGAAAGAAGGTTAAGTACTTATGAAATTGAATAAAAAACCTGTTGATGTTATGGTCTACTCATTGTCAGTCGGAAAAGAAATACATGTAACATAGTGGTTGTGCTTTGCTTTACGTGATAAACTTGCGACATTGATATTATTCTTTCACGAAGGGATGTTAAGAAAAAAGTTCCGTCTTGCGTTTTGAATTGCTGAGGGGTCTGAAGCAAAGGCTACTTTTTATGATGGACCTTCACGATAGAAAGCTAACAGTTGTCTTTTGAAATGTTAGAATAAAATACTACCTCTCGTCTGTAAGGCACAAATCTATGTAGAAATCTTCGTCTTCTTCATCGGGGCATGTCTTGACTGCGCAACCAATTTTAGAGGCACTACCACGCATTAGCTGAAAGCTGATTTCTAAAATTTCAAGTGCAAACAGTTTTTTGAGCAAATGTGCATACGTTGGCATAGTTTAATAAATCTCCATCATTGTCAGTGTACTTTACAGGTTGACTTCCATTGAGAAAGACTTTCTCAGAACCCCAGTCTAGGATATATATGAGGTCACGCCACAAGGGATAGTGGAGTACAACACTGAAAATTAAATTCAGTTTTTACAACAGCAGTTCAAATACAATCAGTCTGCGGTAGCAAGATCAGAGCAAGAGCTGAGATTACCAAAATCCAATGTTCAATTCAAAACTTCATGACACTATGCTCTGGCACAGAGGGGAGGGTAGAAGAATAAACGGATCTGCGGTAGCAACCATGCGAAGAGTAGTACCTGGCAAAGATATAACTCCTATCAGGTTCCCGTTGCTCTGGAATTGCTTTGGCGCAGTCCAGTACTTCCAAAAAATTCTCAGCTTCCTGCTCCAGTTTGCAGTCATATGCCTAAGTCGGTGCAGGACAATTCATAGTTCGATGAATCATTTAATGCTTACTACGATCATCTTCGGAACACCACAGAGCTGATCACTTTTCAGATCAAGTACTGTTTCAAATCTAAGCTCTACATTATTGGACTCTTTTCATGTCAACTCTCTGTTTGTAGACGAACATGAAAAAATTTGTAGCCAAAAATCGAAATTTTTGAATAAGCGCAAAATTCGATCTCCTTCCAGGAAATTCCTACGTGCTTCCAAATTGGTCATTATACAGTAGACACAAAGTAGTACCTAAAAATGTATTGGTGGATAATTCCGGGGTTTAAATTTGAGAAACAAAGACACTATGAAACTGCCAAAATGCCACTTTTTTATGTAAAACTTGGTAACTCGATTATAAGAGCACATACAGGAATGAAGTTCTAGATTTATACTTACTAAGGCTTGCAGTTTACAATGACATATGTGGGAGAGGCTGAAGCGGAGTTTACCACTCTTGGATCTCTTTTTTCCTCGCTTTCCATAAGCGAAAAAAAACCAGTGAGGATGTCTACTGTACGAAATTGGAAGTCCACAGGATTCTTATTAAAAAACCAATTTTCAGGAGGTAATTTCTTTCAACTTCAAACTTAACATGGATTTCGAATTAGGCGAATTTTTGGAAGCCATTTTTAGAGCTTGATCTGCTCTATCTAATGGTATCCTAAGTCCGCTAAAAAACAAAAACAGCTTGGTTTATTCAAAAAGAAATTATTTTTTGGACAACATATTTGCCGGCTAACTTTATATCACGAGTATATCGCGTGCGGATACGTCACGTCTAGGATCACGATATACTTGTGAAGGATGTTTATTCGACAGACGTTCCGACGAGCTCATCTCCTGCAAGAGGCCTTAACGTAGATGTAGGTTTCTTGAAATCTGGCCAGTACACCGGCAAGAGCCTCCTCTACACGTAATAGTCTGGACCTTATCGGAGGATAGCAGCGCAAAGCCATCAAGTTGTGAAGCGAACCAACCGTAACCGCTCCGCATTCCAGTAAGTCCCCACAATGGGATAGTAACCGAGTGTCACCGTTGAGTCGAGGGTATTGATATGAGTTGTTCAGGTCGCAAACGGCAAAAGATCACTGTCGATTGACAGGCACTCACTTTTAAAAGTATGTAAAGTTGCTCATAAGAATCCACGCTGCCTTAAGGATTTTTTTCGCGCAAATCTTAGCCTAGTAAGAATGATGGCAAGTTCTTAGCATGTTTATTGTAAATGTAAATAAGAAATACCAATATTTTGGTGCAGTAGACACCTGGCTAGATCGAGCCAGGTGTCTACTGCACCGAAATGGCATTGATAATTCGAACAAAGCTAACCATTTTTCTCATATTTCTTGCCGGGGGAAGACGATCTCCATCCTCTCCTTTTGTTTCCAATCCATTAACTAACTTTGTTCTTCTATCGTTAACGACGGAAAGTATATCACTGACGTTCTTTACCGACATTTTGCCATTTTTACAGTACGCAGCATCTGAAATGTTGATTTTTGATTTTATCCCAAGGAAAGTATGAGGGAGAGAAGACACTTTTTTTTGGTTAGAAGAGGACTAATCAGAGCAAACGAACTTTGACAGCTTGTACCTCTTGTAAGAAACTAGTCTTTGCGTTAGAATGGCTTTAGCATGACATGAAAATGCCACTTACAGTTCATGCTCTTTTATAAGTTGTAATTGAGCGATAATTACGAAAAAGGAAATAGTGAATGTTTCTGACGGAATCTGACAGCTATTCCGAAGTGATACTTTTAGATTTTAGGTTTACTAGAAGTCACCCTTTAGTTTGTGCGACTTTCTCTCTTTGATACGGTGCCATGAATTCGACGGTAGCAAGAAGATTTAGCGAATCGGAAGAGCACAAGGCAGGGATAGATAATACCTATCTCGAATGCTCAATGAATGAATTTTCAAAGATTTCGTAAAAGTGATAAGCGCTCACAATTAGAGCAGTGCTGACTTGGAAAGAAAGTTTTGCGTGAACTAGCGAAATTTCAAGGATGACCGTCTAATATTATGCTTTTCTCTTCCGTTTAAGTTCAAAAGACCACTCATTGACTCGAAACGACATAACCACGGAACTTCCCCCCTTTAAATTCAACTAATGAGATAAGTATCACTTGCTCATGCTCTCAGTAACAAGTTCCTCACTTGCAGTGAAATGCAAATACATATGTGACTACCTAAGAAGATGCTGGCGGAATATCATGAATTAGCTCAGAAACAACCAAACAGACATAAAATACTAAGCTCACAAACTCTTGAAGAATTTCTGCTAGGTATTTTGAAAACAGGGAATCTCTTAAGACTTCTTCGCTCTCATGGATTTGCCCAACAAATAGAGAAATTTTGAAAGAAGTGCGTAACAGTCGTTACTTATATACCCGAGTCAACATCGGGACACAACAACCTTATTTCAAAGATTTTTTGAGAAATAACTCAAGTAGACGGCGGAGCAGACCTAGTTGCAGTTTTGTGATAAAATCACGACTTTTTTTGCGATTGGTTTCTTCAAAATCAGCAAGGTGCAAAACAGTACAGATGTATCGGATAATTGTAACGTTTTAGTTATGTGCACCAAATTCGCCTAGGTTGTCTCAGTCTTTTTGGAAAACTAGATATTAAATTGCTGTGTACTGCCAATTTTATGCGCGAGTACATGCCGCAAGCCTAGAAGAATTCTGAGGGCTTCTCTTCGTTTTACATGGCTGAACTGGCCTAGCATTTTCCCAAAGTAAAGTTAAGTCACCTTCATCCGAAGCAGCCGATACGGGTAGTATGAAACAGATCTGGAAAGAATTGTTAGTCGCGAAGTTAGGGATTTGAGATAAAACATACCAAGGTTGCAAGGTATTTCAGCCCAGACATGTTGAAGGTACTGGCTCACTGCCCTCTTCTTTTTTATATGCAGCCACTTCTAAGGAACAGCCCTTTGCAATTTCAACGCCTTTTGCTGCATCATAAAGCCAACATTTTGATGTTCTCATAACTTTGGTGGCAATGACTTGTGATATGAAATCATGGCATAGATGAAAATTTAAAATGACGCCGATATTTAGATTCACCACCAACTGACAGGCGTCTCAGTGCTCAAGCAAAACATCGGCAAAATTCAAAAACAAAGCTGTATGTTGCGCATTTCATGAAAACTTGGAAGAAAATGGCTAAGAAGTTAAGAATTTTGGTGACATTTTTGCGCTGCGCCTTTTGCAACAACTTTGATTCTCTATCGAAATTCTTAAAATTTTGTCACTTTCGCTAGAGCTGATGTGATCACATCATGCACAGTAAGACTAATATTATCGTCGGAAAAAAATCTGCGAAACTGCGAAATATTAGGTCATTCCGAAAGTAATTTCGCTTTTTTCAAACGGACGCCACAGACGATAGAACGAAGATTTCTAAGAGATCTCGGTAGCATTCGATGCAGAAATTCATTCTCTTTCTAAAATTTATGTAAATGTTGCAAAACAGTCAATGAGCTTTCAAAAAATAACCAGAACCTGCAACCCATGCTTTTTGAGACGGTCAAGTTTTATGATTTTTTAAAACCTTCATATCAAACCTCAGGAGGAGTTCAAGTAACGATTCGATAGAGTAGACCTTATGGAATGAAGTCCTACTTTTTTCTCCTTTCCATAGCTTGTCATACATTTTTAACAGAATTTTAACTGATGCTACCGATTTCCATACTTGGGAAGCTAAATCCTCGTAGAACATCAAAAGAAGAGCAGCTCGCGCACTATTCGATGCAGCATTTACTCCTCTTTCTAACAAATGTATTTTGTCTCCGATTCGTTTAATTTCCGGGGATGATATCATCATAACTCATTTCTTTAGCAAGCCCATGCTGTACCCGAAAAACTCGAAATTTGATATTTCGAACCCGTAAACCCTTACATGCTTTGTAAAATTTATGCTAACTCATGGTACTATCGTGGTAGTCTCAAATTCCGAAAAATTATGATGTTTGATGCGATTGTGGCTGAGGTGGGCCTGCCAAAATCCGATGGTTCTGTTTGAAAATCTTTTAAAAAAATTACGGCGAGATACGAGGAAGAGAAAAAAGTAGTGCTGTATTCTATAAGGTTTACTCTATCGAATCATTACTTACAATCCTTCTGAGGATTGATATGAAAATTTTAAAAAGTCATAAAACTTGACCATCTCAAAAAGCATGGGTTACAGGTTTTGGTTATTTTCTGAAAGCTCATTGACTGTTTTGCAACAATTACATAACCGTTAGAAAGCGAATGAAATTCTGCATCGAATGTTTTCAAGATCTCTCAAAAACCTTTGTTCCATCAAATGTGGTGCCCGTTTGAAAAAAGCGAAATTACTTTTAAAGCGACCTAATATATGAATTCTCGATAACAAGATAGAAATTTTTTCAGGCAGATTCAAAGAAATGGTAAAATTTCGGGTTTTACGATTTCCTCAATCAGTCAATTTTCTCAGTCAGTCCAGTTATCACACCAGCTAGTTTTGTGATGCACCACTTTGCTGAGAAAGTAGTGCCAGCTTCAAAAGATTCTATATTTTCAACTTTGTTAAAAAGGCTTCAGGCACCTTTTGACAGAGCAAAGCAAACTTAAAAGATGGTTTTTAATATTCCATGTAAAATCTAAATCTAATGTCGAAGTTCTTTGGTTACGCCGGAAAGGATAATCACTTTCAGCTTATATATATCTGACAAGGAAAGTGTGTTTAGTCAAAGTGCCTTTCCAGATGAGACCCACACTGCTTTGAAGAGCGTTAGGCGGCGATTCCGAATCTGCCTTTCAAATCTGCTCAGCGCTTCTGGACGCCGAGTCATGGGTGTTTTTCAGGCAAAAGAATTGAACGCAAAACTTCAACAAAATCGCCCGAATTTGCTCAAATGGTCCAGTGTCAAGTGTCAGAGCCGTTCATGCAATGGATATATTTTGTCTAATATGCTAATACTTAACATTGCTTTATCTGAGCGCTAGAAAGATTGTAACAATCGATTTTATCTAAATTTTGCATTCATTTTTCGCTCTTAAAACGGTCATAACTCGGCGTCCAGAGGCGCTGAGCAGATTTAGAAGGCAGGTTTGGAATTATCACTTAATGCTCTTCAAAGCAGTGTGGTTCTCATCTGGAAAGGCCACTTCGACCAAACACACTTCCCTTGTAAGATATTCTTACAGTTGATGGTCTTTTCCGTGCTAAACTGACAAGCTTAAGAGAAAGATTCTGGACTGCAATTCTTATATAATTATGCAGCACACCTTGGAAATATAACCGCAATAGCCTTATCTATGCGATATTAAAGACATAGCAAGAGTATAAGAAACCCATATCCACATATTTTATGCATGTTGAATCTCTTGTCTCGATCACCAAAATATCCAACAATTCTTTATTGATGTCTGACGAAAAATTATATGTTAGGTTGGAATCTAACACTATGTTTCTCGGCTCATTCAATAACTTCCCTCTCTCAAAATCAAGCACTAAAATTTTGCCATCTCAGACAATCGATGGGGGCAGGCGGGCACCGGAAAAATAGATTGCTGATTTCTCGCACCCCGCTCACGGATTTTTTACAAAGCAATCAGGACTTTTCGGAAGGCCGCTTGCTGAGTCAGCGGATTTTTGAGAGACCGCCTGTTGAATTTTTTTCGCTCTTATCTTTTGCAGATATATTGCTGAATCTCTGAGAAATCGAGAACTCAGCAAGCGGTCTTCCGAAAAGTCCTGATTGCTTTCCAAAAAATCCGCGAGCGGGGTGCGAGAGATCAGCAATCTATTTTTCCGGTGCCCTCCTGCCCCCGGCGATTGTTTGAGATTACGTAGGTTATGATGAAAGCTAGAAGAGTAGCTGCTGTTCTGCCAAATTCTGTTGTCGCAGCGAGAGTTACGGTAGGTATCTTATACGTGAAGCTGAATGTCTGTTCATATGTCTAACTGTCTGTCTGTCTGTATGTGTGTACGTATAGGCCGTCCGCGCAGGGCGCGGAGAGTGCGCAAAGTGTGTACCGCGCGTCACTCCCCTTTTCCATCGCACTCTCGCCCGCTTGTTTTCTCTGCGCCTCTTCCGGTCACGAACTGTCTGCGATGGACGCGACAACGTTGCTCTCCGCGCACCGCGCGGACGGCCTATATGTTCCGAATAGAAAATTCCATTTCTGAACCGATCTGGACCAAACTTGGCACACATACACTTCGGGCCCTGGCGGGTGTCATAGGCTACTTTTCGTCATCGATCGATATCGATTTTATCGATATTTGTAAAGTTTGGCCTGCGGGGCTGGGAATTGCACAAGGAGGTAATCGAGCATGCTGATTACGAATACATATCAGTTTTCAGAATTATCGATAACTTTTATTGATTTTATCGATTTTTTTTGCAAAGTTTGAGCTACGGGGTTGGGGGGTTAGTGAGGAAGGTAGATGAGCATACTGATTACTAATACAGAGAGAGCAGGGAATTGCACATAGAAAGTGGGCACAGGTAAAGGTGTACAGGGATAGAAATGGAACCTTCATCGTTTTTGACAGGGCCGGGCGGAGCCGGGTAAGCCAGCTAGTATGATAAGAGAGAATTTATAAAATTTGACAGATTTGATTGACTTGGTTTAGTGGGATTACCCGAATGCTGAAACCGATATGGAAGTTGCATGATAAGGGCTTTTTGTAATATAAGTGCAGGTTCACGATATAGGGTCTCACCCTAAACTTCTAGACTGGCGGGTCTAGTAAGCTTGATATGTGAAATTTAGGTGAATTTTGAGGTTCTGACTCCTTGGATTGACGAAGCAGCCTTGCGCACAGTTCGACACAACACACACAAATTTCTCTTTTACTATTACTTAATTTTTTTTGCTGAAAGCTCCACAGATATTCAAGTCTGTCTCAAAGCTTTATTTTGTTGAAATTTCAAGACTTTCGAAGTTCCAACAGATCGTCCAAACCTCCTCTATTTCTGAGCGAAAAAGTTGCAAAATGGAACCTTCGCGGCAAGGCGCGATTTACACCAAAAAATTTCAGTTATTTCTCATCACAGAAAGGAGAGGAACCCGAATTCGGCTTCAGTCGCGCGGAGAAGAAAATGGCATTCCGATAATTGGATACAGGACATTTTCCCATATTACCACCTTCTCCTTCAAGCGCATCTTATCGCTTGTAAATAAATAGTTATCTTTGCCTTGATCTTATTCTTCCATTCTCTTCCATCAGTATAAAATTGTTTTTTGATTCTTAATATCTGCCTATTTTTCCCAACCTTATTCGGTAAGCTTGATATGGAAGAAACGGATCGCGAATCACAAGCGAAAACTGCAAAGGCGGAACTCCAATTAAAGTACTGCGGAAAATCTGTTTGCAGTGTTTCCGCAGCGCTTTCGCAGGATTCCTCCGGGTCACCTGCAATCCTGCGAAAGCGCTGCGGAACTTCCGGACGGTTGTCTGAGCGCATGGAGAGATCAGTGAAATATCATGCAGGGTTGTTTGAAAAATTTCACCTGCATCGGATTTCAACTTCGATTCGCCAAACCTCTTAGGAATGATCATTACAAGTGTGATAATTAATGATTTTTGCATTTAACTGTTACAATGACTGTTACAATCTACAAAAACTTGGCAATTTATTTTCACGGCAATAATTTTCACATTCGTTTTGTTGTCCTTTTGAGGTGCGGCACATCAAACTTCTATGGAAACGAGAGCATTTGTAAAACAGAAACTATAAAAGAAGTTTTTGCGTAAGCGAGTTCACTGAATACGTTCCTGAATTAGCAGTTCAAGAAGAGGTATAAAAACGGGGCACTTTTGAACCGAGCCAATACAGAGAATGACTATTCAGAAAAAAGTTATCCAAAACAAGGCCGCAACGCCACGTACGAGCCTCACTCTTGCTCAACTTGATTCGCGTTAGACATTTGGAGGTACTAATTGTCTCGGAGAAGTAGAACAGACACTAAAATTTGCA